GGTACAGCAGCAGCAGAGATGGTGGCTTTGCTGCAGTAAGACTTGCCGGAGTGAGATAAAGAGGATGGAGGGGGGTCTGAGTCTTTTCCTGAAATTTTTGCCTATTTTTGGTAGCTTGTTTGTATTTCTTAATCTAGCCTAAGCCGGGTAGTGGCCCGGGTATCGCAAGCTTTCAAAATTCCTTCAAAATTCTATGTAAATTTCTATATGGGACGCTGGGCCCGGTTCTCAGCACGTGCTGCTCCCCACGAATAGATTGGAGCTTTGTTCCCACTAAAAAAAAAAAAGAAAAAAAAGAAAAAAAAGAATTTTCAGCCACTACAATTCTGAAGTGCAAGAAATAGACTTTGAGATGACACCCAAGAAGGCAGTGATGCCCAATGGCATGTGCCAGGGCATCATGCAGCATGTAAAACCCACACTCATACATAGAGACCTAAACGCACTTAGAAGGGATTTGCTTACTCATATACTGGACTTGACGCAGACCCTTGCCATCATCCTATTGCAGTACAGCACAATGCCATACTCACTTGCATTCATGGAGAGAACGAAAGGAAGTGTGGGATTTGCAATACGGAGAACAGTATGTGCAGCCAAGGCCTTCCTGTGAGCCTGGAGGTTGTTCCACAATCAGGTGACCATGGGAAGGGTTGTTCTTTCTTGTCTGTCTTCTCAAGGTTCAAAATTGAGGAAAAAGTAGGTACAAACATGCAATAAGACAAGGCTAGACCTTCAACAGAGTCATCCTCAATAGTTCGGCAGTTTTCACGAAGCTTCTTGTGGCCCTTAGTGTTCTGTACTTCTCTAGGCTGAGGAGTACCAACCACAAGAGTGGGGGTAGGGGTTAGGGGTTAGCGGATGGTTTAGAGTCTTTAGACCCTGAGGGCCGATCCTGGGCAAAATTCCTTGGGTGGGGGCGTTGGGGAAGAGGATTAAAAAAGGAAGGGATCTTCCATTGTTTAGGGGCGTACCACTCTCGGCTGAGGAGAGCGAACCGGAAGGATGGTTGAAGCCCCGATGGCCCAGCATATGCTGAGGGTCTACATACACTCAGTTCACATAGAAATACAGAGATTATGCACTCATATCATGGAGAGAGGAATACAAAAAGGGCCTGTCCTAGGGAGGTTAGGCCTTGGCTTAGGCCGTTAGACACTCCCTGTGCTACATCAAGTAGGGATGCCCTACAGTCTTCCCCCGAATGCAACGTACGGTCATTATTGCTGGTACATATATCAGGCTAAATTCAGCTATAATGACCGTGCGTTGTATTCGGGGGAAGACTGTAGGTGTGGATGTCTAAGGGGGGCATCATGGTGCGCTCACGGGGGCTGATATATAATGATCAGGCCTAGTGCCCAATGTGCGACAGGGCTCGCCCTATAGTGCTTCAACCAGGGCTGGGGGGGTTGACCTACCCAGCGCTGGTGCTGTCAGTGATGTCCGGTACCATCTATAACAAGACGGAGGTACTCCTGCAGATGGGAAAGCAGGGGATATGCTAGAGAGGCATGTCGAGGTAGGGTGGAAGGGGGCTCAAGAGCAACCACCAGTATTTCGCCCATATATGGGCCAAAACAGGTACCACTTCTTCGACTGCCAAATGCCTATTCGTCACATCTCCAAATCAGAAGGACCCCAAGTTGCATTACGGGAAATTTCTTCAAAAAACGAAGACAAGAACAAAACAAAGCCAAAAACAAAAAACTTAAAAAAAAACTAAAAAACAAAAACAAGCTAAAAACAGATGAGAAAACAGAAGGCAACACCTCGCCTAGAGGCTAGAACACCCCAAGTAGCAAGCCCTCGTCACAGCATCTAATCAGTAGAGGTCCCGAAGGAGCAAATCTCACATCGGAGGCCCTCATTTTCGTTAGTCTTCTCATCGGGCCCCTTACCCTTGCTTCCACGTAGGCCCTGGCCGAGGGCTCCGTTCTATTCTTTTTTTTTTTTTTTTTTTTTTTTTTAAACACGACCCCTCAGTGTTAGTGGTGCTGATAAGAGCATACACCACTAGCACCTTTTTTCTGAGCCAAAGCCGGGTAATGGCCCCGGTATCTCAATCTTCAAAATCATATGTAAATTTCCATATGGGACGCTGCGCCCGGTTCCCAGAACGTGCTGCTCCCCACGAATAGATTGGAGCCTTGTTCCCATTAAAAAAAAAAAAAAAAAAAAAAGAGAACAAGGGCAAGACGAATAGTGAATAGTGAAAAACAGGGGCCAACTGTCTTGCGTACACGGTTCACACAATGTCCATTACAAATCCGCGTATACGTGTCTCAGAGAACGCGCACATTCGCCGACGCGCGTTTCGATCGGCTGCGCTCCGATCATCCTCCGGGGGGGGGGTTTCCGCCGTACCATTCCCCGATGCGCGCTTCGATCGGCTGCGCTCCGATCGGGGGCTTTCCGAACATTACAAATCTACTGAACAGTGGTCATAGACTGTTTCTCGCAAATGCTTCAACAGATAATCATTACATCTCCGCATGTACACAATAATAATAATAATAATAATAATAATAATAATAATAATAAGAAGAAGAAGAATCTTTGCTACTCTAAAGGGGTACATCAAGGAATCATTATATGAGGTGGAAACAGCTGACGCGGCTTTCAAAAAAAGTAAATAAAATAAAAAGGAAAAGGTTGGCCACCCTGGGGGCAGCGCACGTTTTGAGCTGCAAAGGAAAGAAGGGGAGTAAACAAGGGCGAGGGGGCGAGGGGCCGGGGGACGGTGAGCGGGGAGGGGGAAGGGGCGGAAGAGAAAGGACAAGGACAAGGACATGTTTGAAGCTGCTGGCTGACCTGGACACATTTAAGTAACCATAGGTTCCAAGCATGCGGTCAAGGACGAAATCCTCGGAGGAGAACTCGACAATGCCACCTGTCGACATCACAATGAGCGCAATTCTGTGCGCAATTCTGTGATTCCGCGAGCCGATGCCAGCCCAATCTCCGCCGATCTCCCCACTTTCCCAGCTCCCCCCCCTTCCGCCGCCACCCCGTCGTCCGCGCCCGTTACCACGAGACATCAAAGGCGCGGCCTTGCCAACACGAGGGAACAAAAGTCCCCTCGTAACAAGGCATGATCTTGGCCCACGGTGATCGCCACAAAGATGAGCGCAAGAGGCGGCGGAGAAGGTGGCGGCGGAGAAGGTGGCGGCGGAAGGAGCGAGTAGCGCGGGGACTCTCCGCCGCCGGCAAGTGCGGGAAAGTAAGAATTCCTCCCGCCAACTGCAGGTACAATCCCGCTTCGCTCCCCTGCTTTCCGCGACTCGAGCTGTCAGCGACCCGCCTCGGCGTCCGCGCATCTGTGTTTCGGACGCCCGAAGTGCAGCTCGAGGGAGGATTGGGAGAAGTGGGTGCAGGGTTTCACCGACGTCGGAACACCTGGCTACATATCCTCTCCCCTCACCCCCCAGCGCCACTGATCGGACATTGGCCCACGTGGCAACTGCCCTTGATTGGGATGCTGACGACACAAGCCCAGCCATAGCCGCCGAAACTGATACCTCCATGTCTTCTGCCCTCCCTTCTTACCTTAGCGCTCACTTGGAGCGATTTTTTTTTTCCCCACGTTTGAATTGTTTCTCAGAAAGCTTGACCGGTTGATTAACTCATTGAGCACGAAGCGATTTTCGAGATTGTGTCTCTGATTGACAGCAATACTGGGAAGGGCTCCATAGCATTAGCATCACGCGAAACTAGCTAGCCATGACCTTCGATTCGGCACAAGAAAAGGCCGCGATGATGTAGGACCCCCACCCCCACCCCCCCCCCTCTTCCCCCCTCCTCTTGTCGATCTTCAGAAAGGAATACAATCAATTGCAAGGGTATTTTTGCTTTGAACTCCGCAATATTACGGTGCTGTGTACCAGTGCACCCACAGAAATCGACATGAGCTGTACATGTGGCACCCGATAACCGCCGGCAGTGCCACGTGTCGAACTACTGGTTACAGCTCAGCCGTTGCTGAACCGTCGGCATCCAGAGGCTACCCAAAACACGAAACTCGCGGCTATGCGTCTGTCCCTTTTACAAATCCCACGGATTGCACCTGACTGGTGGCGAAACGGGGCACATGTGACTGTCTTTGGGCCTCGCTGCACTACTCTCGACATGCACAAAAAACAAAAAACATGGCCGTGTATCTTTCCATATTCTAACGGAGGATTCACTCTCGTTTTGCACATTTCGAGAGTAGTGCAGCGAGGCCCTTTCTTTCACTGCTACTGTAAAAGGGGGAAAAAAGACGACGGCTTTTAGATAGTCAGCGGCCTAGCTCAGGGCATACATAGGGCCTAGTTGCACTACTCGCCATAGGCCAAGTTTGGAGAGTAGGCCCTGGTTTTGGAGAGTAGGCGCCTGGTTGCACTTACTGGGCAAACTTGACGAATGCAAAATGTGTCAGACGGCTCACCACACCGTAGACACAAGTTGTGGAGAGTGAATTCGAGAGGGCAGGCCACACCTTCGACACAAGTTGTGGAGAGTGAATTCTGTTTCCCCGCCTGTGCACGGCGGTTTGTGGAGAGTGGTCCTCGGACCTCTCCACAAAACAGCTTTCTGGAGAGTGCAGGGCTTCACGAGTCGACATCAGGTAGACAAAAAATTTTAACTTTTCTGTAGAAGAAATGTAGTGGCGAGTAAGTGCAACCAGGACTCGAGTTCGATGCCATTCTCAGTTTTTTCAGGGCCTCGTTCCACTACTCGCCATCCGCCACGCATGGCGGATGCGACTTCGTTCCACTGCATCGCCAATAGCCATGAAATGGACGCTGTCAGAATTCGGGTCTGAAATCACTTGGCTATGTGTCGCCAAGGCTTTCCATTTCCCCTGCCTGCAACGACCCTTCGTGGAGGGGCCTACTCCTCACCCCTCCGCGAAATGCTTCGTGTGGCCATTGCCCCTGACACAGTGGTCCTGACAGTCGACCTGCGTTGTCCCCTCCCCTAGTGTTGGCAAGTTTCCGTCGCACCTGGAGGGATTTCCAGTCCGAGTACATGGTGAAGAGAAGGCCGCCACTGTTCCATCAGCCCGCCATCCGCCACAGTCTGGGGAGCAGGCCGGGACAGCAACCACAGCGCGTGTGGCGGCGGCTATGTAATGGAACCAAGAGCCGTTTTCCGCCAGAAGAATGCACTTTTCGGCCTCGCCAAGCCTCGCCACTGTTTGTGGCAGATGGCAAGTAGTGGAACCAGGCCCTCACTCTCCACGCATCCACCACGAAATGTGACGGATGCGAGTAGTGCAACTAGGCCCATACTCACACTAGCACGTATTTTTGCCAAATTTTATGTATGTGAATTTGCCTTTATATGGCATCTCCTGCGGGTCACCCTGGTCACCCACCCATTTGTTGCCCAAAACAGAAAGGACGGGGTCGCGACCTGGCCTCCAGATGCGAAAATACGTCGTGTGCAGTCATACAGCACCATGCACAATTTTTTTTCCCTCTTTTTCGAGAAAGAAATAGAGGAAGAAGAAATACGATTTTGCAAATACTCTTTTTGCAAATTGAATGCAATTTGTTTGCCCTTGATAAAATAGAGCGAGCCACGTTGTATGCCCTCCTTTTCCAGGTTGAAGTTCGATGTTATGAATAGCAGTCCCAGACAGATTAGAAGGAGAATATGAATTCTTCAGTAGTTCTTGGCTGTTTGCTCCCTTATTTAGGTTTCCTAAAGTTTTGGTCCAGTTGCTCACGTTCTTTGGAGTTGCACACACACCATGGGACGCTGAACCCGGTTTCCAGCACAAGCTTCACTACCGGGTTGAGATGTTGAGGGATTCCCGGCCTCATTCAATTACTATAAGCTGCAACTTGCAATTTAAAAAAAATAAAAAATAAAAAATAAAAAATAAAAGAAAAATAATAAAGGAGGGGCTGTCCAGGCCGTTGATATTTATGTGCCCCACGCAAAATACGTGACCCGGAAAACAACGTGAAAATTTGCATAAAGTTTGCGGTTTTGCGAAATTACGTGGTAGTGTGAGTATGCCCTCAGTCGTTAAGGCACACAAGTGGCACACAAGTGGTGGTAAAAAAAAATGTGATTTTGCGAAAATATGTGGTAGTGTGAGTAGTATGCCCTCAGTTGCTAAGGCACACAAGTGGCATTCAGGAGGTCGTGGGTTCGATACTCTCAGGTGGCAACCTGGGCAGACTTGGTGCCCACCATCAATAGGTAGCCCAATCTTCCCCCCCCCCAGGGCCTTCGATCTGCGTTAGACCACCAGTTCACACGAACCTAAGTAGTGCTCTGACTAAGTAATGCTCTGACTTGTATACTGGGTAAGAGTAAGGGCATACTCACTCTAGCACTACCTTTAATGCATCTGACCACTTTCACGGCCAGGCCTGCATGGATCTGGCCGCAATTACATCCAAAAATAAGTAAAAAGCCGCCGTGTGAGTGTGCCCTAAGAGGCCTGGGCCCGTAGCAAAGGCGGCAGGCCACTTTGGAAAGGCACAGTTGCAGGCTTGTGAGGCTTGGAAGGTAGCTTCATCAACTTAGGCTTGTGTGAACCAGTGTACTCCATAAGAGCACATGGCCTCGGGCCTGGGCCACTACTGTCTTAACCCGAAAAGAACATAGGTACGTTGTATACGAATACAACATAAGGGGTACGTTGTATTCGAATAAAACGTACATACATTATACAATGAGTTTTAGGGTACAACTTTGCAGGAGCCTGTAGTACCACCGTCATTTTTTTTTTTTTTTTTTTTTTTTTTAAACAGGTCCTTATGGCCCTGGCTCCGTTCCATTCTGGGGAGCAGCAGTCCGGTTCCTATTCCCCCGGCAAGTCAGGACAAAGAATTACATCATTAAACACACTCAACGCTTCCTTCCGTCTGGCCGAAGGAACCCTGATCAGCATTGATTGCTCCAGCAACCTGGAGGATTGACTGTCAGCTTGCCTTACTTCCGCCTTCCCTCTCAGCTCCACTGTACGGACCTGCCAGATAAGTGATAAGGACAAGAAAAGCGGAATAACTGCCGGAGGTGAAAGGAGGCCTACTCTTCAGAGTTTTTCAACTCCTCCCCTTTCCTCAACCCGCTCTCTTGTACCACTACTGTTTTACTGATTTATCTTTTTCCTTAACCCCTAAACCCTAATGCGTCTTTATCTTTGACCGCATGACTACTGACACAAGCTATGATTCCTCTCTAGGGCCACTACGCCACGTGTATGTCTACCCTACTGATCTGTGATCTCGCTGATTCCAGCGAAGCGAGATCTGTTGCTGTGTCTCTCTGTGAACAATCTTCTCTTCTCTTCCAAACCAGTCTTGGAGAGTCTCCTTCCACGGTGCTGAGTTTACCCATTGCAAGCCTGCTTTTGATAAATTTCTCTATGATTGCCTGCTTTCTTGGTGGATCTTCTTTGATATTCTTGACTGCCCAGTTCCAATCCGCTTGATATTCCTGCCGTAAAAGTTGTAAAACATGCTCCCAAGCCTCCTGAGTCGATGTTTTTTGGCCATCTATCGTCTGTTTGCATCGTGTCTTCCATATGATCCACAGAGTAAGAGGGCGAAGTTTACGGAAGAGGGTCCGCTGCCAGGGCTCATTGTGACTTGGTTGTTCCATGCCCGTTAAGAGTGTGAGCCGGTTGTCTAGTAATAGAGTTCCAACCGCTGCCAGCCAGAACTCCCGTGTTTTGTTCCAGATCCGTTGTGCATTTGGACAGTTTAGCAGGCAGTGCTGCATATCTTCTAGTGTTCCTTCCTCGCAGACCGCGCAACTGTCGTCAAAGTCCCTTCTAGCGATTTTTGCCCTTCTCCTGCTGAGCCACGTGTTAACTGACAGAGCATGATAATAGATGAGCCATTGCATACTTCTTATGCGGGTATTTTTAATGGCGAGAGGTATCTGCCAATTGAACTTTTCGGTGTTGCCCAGGCAGCCCGAGGTGTGCTTCTCCCAGCGTTGGATTAGGACGATATCCGTGTTCACCGATCTCCGTCTGAGTTTGTAGCCAAAGCTGGTGGAATAATCCAGGATGTTGGTGCGCTTCTGTGACCCTAACGGTGTGGATCTTGTCTTCCATGCCCATTCCACTGGGTCAAACTCCAGATCCTGCAAGGGTATTCCAAGTTGATAGGCTTTGTAATCGTCATCCTCGATCACTCTGATTTTCCTGAGGAGACCGGTTCTAGCCGTGATTTGGGCCCGAAATGATTTCGAGACCCTGCTGAGGTTGGACCCCGACTGTTCGATGTCGTGTATGGACCATAATCCCCAGTCTCCCTCCGGTCCTGTTGACTTGACATAGACCAATGCCTCCGAGGGGGTGTGTTCTGATTCCCACGTGGCCCACTCTCCTGCTGCCCAGGCTGGGGGGGCTTGTAGGAGCGTCTTCCAGTCCTGCGGTATGGATTGTACCATCGCCTGCAGGTTAGCCTCTAGGTTATGACATCCTTTGAGAGAATCTCTTAGCTCTGCAGCTGTCTTCCAGCGATTGCTTTGGGGATTCCAGATGTGTTTGAGTTGCCAAACACCTCGTTCCAGCCACAATACCCAGCGAGCATCCTGTGTAGTCAGGGTCCATGGTTTATCGAAGGGGTCTTTCAGCCAGTGATTGCAGAAAAGTGGTTGTCGTAGAACTTCCTCCCTGTTGACTGGGCTGCAAACCTTGGCCGGAAAGATCTCTCGCCAGATTTTTATGAGGTACATCC